TATATGTAAAGAATAACAAATAAACCTGAAATCCTTCAGGATTTGTGCTCAACATGTCTGTCATATTTGCTTCTTTCACAATGTGTTTTGCAAAGGCTTATTAAATTAACAGCCTGAACATTTTCTGAATTCAATTTCATGCTTTGTTATACTTCTGACCAAGATTGAGTTTCATCCAAGCCCAAGCATCCGAGTGAATGAGCATAGTTTTACACAGCTTTCAGCAGTATTCGAGCAATATCACTACGCCAGAAAATATCTTTACAAACTGTACCTAAGTTGAGTATCAAACCCGGGTCTTTGGCATGATGAGCCAATGCTGTAAATGTTGTCCTTCTCTAGAACATGGTGGGTATTCAAATATCAAGAATTAAACTGTGACGTGACAAAGACAAGTTGTAAAATCTGGGACAACCTTCAAACGTAAAAGAATTGGGCCTCCAATAACCGTTGACAGTCAAGCTACTGGCCTTTACACAGCTGACGGTTTTCAGATTGAAGGGGTTATCAGGAGCTCCAAAACCAGATGCTTTAGGCAGAGAGGGGTCGATAATCTTGGTTGGATGCTCTTTAGAAGAAATATTCAAATTCCTGCCACCCTGGATGTATACCCATTGATGCAGAAGTCTCATGGATTAAACCCCTAAAGCATTTTGGGAGAGGAAGTCCCTTAGGCAATCTGGTGCTGTCTTAAATACTCTTCTGGCAGCTCCTGCAATGCATCTTGGATCCAGCAGTAACCTGCTCTATGGGGAACAGCTGGGCCTCCACATCCAGTTAACAGTACAGAATGGAATGCAGCAGTAGACCATGGTAAGCCTAGCTTGATTGGCATAAAAAAATGGCACATAGGGTTGTTCCTGATGGTTGGAGGGATGATTGTATCTCACAGGACAGCTACCAACTGCTTTAGCTTGCAAGCTATCACATGTTCATACACAAAGCCAGCAGTCTAGACTACCAGTTGTCCGACTTCCATTTTTGTGGAAGGCGCGGTAGCTGAGCGGGTTGGGCAGCTGACTTCGTGTGCTGGCGATTAGGTGCCTGACTCTGAGGGTGTGAGTTCGAATCCCGGATGGGGCTCAACTAAAAAAAGTACTAGAATTTGTACTTTACTAAGAAAGTGTAATCCCAAACATAACATATGTTACATTTGACCACTTTCTAAACGGCATTGTGTAATCATAGCTTTCGGCCGTGGGAGCCGTGCCAATTAACACCTATCAGAGGGGTACACAAAGCCAGCAGTCTAGACTACCAGTTGTCTGACTTCCATTTTTGTGGAAGTCGAGGCTGACTTAATGTGCTGGCGATTAGGTGCCTGACTCTGAGGGTGTGAGTTCGAAAGCCAGATGGGGGGCTCAACTCAAAAAAGTACTAGAATTTGTACTTTACTAAGAAAGTGTAATCCCAAACGTTTAATTCATGGCCTCAGTGAGACAAAGGCACCAAGTGTGCATCAATGGAAAAGGTGGTCACTCCTCTACTGACTGTGTTGACTTGCTTGGCTCATTTGCATTTGGCAGGGGTGCTGTTCTTATGGATTGTTGATCATTAATACCATACCTTTTGCATTTGTCTTTCCATGTAATAACATTTCATTCGTGGCAATAAAAGTTGATTCTGTTAGTTGTTTGCGTCTTGCAATAACCATTGCCTTTGGGTATATATTCTGTCCAGTACAACTGACCATCACATAATCCCCAAAAGACATTCATTTTGTGACATCTACAAAGCTTTAAAAGGAATTAACAAGACATGCGGTTATTTTGACTTCATCAAACCTTCAGGAGACTTCACATGTGCTGGTTATGTGCTACATTCACCACAGTAGTTGTAGGGCTCTGTAGAATGGGTTTCTACCGAGGGCCTGAATACATGCACAACACCTCCTACGTACGGAACCCAAAAGCCTGCTGATGACAGCCTGAGGAATGGCAGCCCAAGAGTTTGGCATCATTCTGTGTCGTAGATTCTGTGATCCTCGTTTAGGTTAATGTCTTGCTCATCACACAGGGATCCAGCGAGCTTGACAGGCACAGCAGAACATTATTGTTCTCAGCCATCTGGAAGTCAGCAAAGACTTAGAGCTGTGAGCCAGGACGAAGTAAGGAAACAAGATTTGTCATTAAAGCAAACACTACACCAAGGCTGTAGGTCCAATGTTATTCACTCAAATATCCAGGGGATGAAACTCAACACTTGCCAAAGTACCCAATAATTAGAATGTTTTGATAATGTAATTATCTTTATGAACAAGATGGCTTATGAAGCTTACTCTTTCGAGCAAATAAAAGTAAATCATGTCTAATTGAACTTAATAAGAAGTAAATAAGCCTACATGTTTGTTAGATTTTCATTATCCCAATTTCCTGGGACATATTGATCAACATACATCGGACAAGGCACTGATATGTACAATTAATTGTCCCTGACAATCGTTTGAAATTTGTTTGAAGTATTAATCAATTGGAACAAATTTGCAGCAATCTTGCTAGAATGTGCCTCTTAACATCAGCTCATATGTTATTGGATAACTGACAGAACAATCATCCAAAGAAATCACACAATGGAATCATATTAATGCTATTGTATATACCATACATACACCTGCTCTCGCTTGCAGGTGCTTTGTGACAAAATTAGTGAGAAAGCTTTTTTTATATATGTATTTGAAACAGTTTGTGAATAAGAGTACCACCCCTAAGTGGTGTCCTCATGCCATCAATAATGGCCCTAGCTCAGCTGAAACAGACAGAACCACTAATGATGACATCCACGCTACTGCAGTGGTTGTGCTTGATTGCGAGGTGGTACAATACTGTCAACGAAGAACCTCCTTTCTCACATTTCGTCAGCGTGTACAGTTACATCCAGTATGTGTAGATAAGGGACATAAACCTGGCATTTGTCTTGCAGCGTATGTTAATGTGTGTCCGTTTTCAAAAGTGAAGGAACAGGATGTAACAATCCTAGGCGTCTGTGGTAATGCTGGTTCTCTCTGATCTTGGATGATCTCACGTGGTGTTATGTTGTCCATACAGTGCACAAAATCAGGAAAATATTGTGCTCCTGACAAAGCTGAAAACCCCAGAAACTGTCGTTTGTGATACATTGAACATTGTCATTAACAACATGGGAAACATCAGTAATTTCCAGAAATGTGAAGTGTTAGGGCCCAGGTGTACAGATTGAAAATTAAGACATATGTTCTCCCCTGATGATTTCTGGATGTCATGAACTCTGCCCAAGGAAAGATTAATTGATTAGTACTCTTTCAACTATATAATACTAGTATACTAAGCAGCAAAAGAAACGTAACTTTGGAATTTTCCTTCGCAGAAACTGATAACTGTAAATTCATTTAATGTTTTGATTGTATATTTTTACAACATCTCCAACTGTACCTGAGCAAAGACATTCCTTCCCAATCTCAGAATGGAACCCAGGAAATGGTCTCAAAAACGCAACCTGATCTCGGAGATGGTACGATGTTCTCCATGTTTTTCAGGCAATTCATGCTGCACGTGCTGTTCACAAGGACCAGCCCTATAAAATGCACGCCAAAACCTGGTTGAAACATTCACATTACAATGTCAGCAGGATGCTGTGACTCACAACAGCACAGAAGAACCAGGTGCTAGAAAGACTTGAAGCTGGCCAGACTGCACAAGCCGTTGCCAATCACTTCCAGGTCAACGTTCGGACCATCTACAGGCTGCAGCAACATTTCCAGGCCACCAACACCACAAATGATCACCCCCCGTACTGGCAGACCAAGGGTGACCACAAGACGACAAGACCGCCATGTTGTGCGACAGCATGTACAGAATCCCTTCATGCAGGCATCCGAAACAGTACGCCAGACAATGGGAACACATGGAAGACCAATCAGTACTGATACAGTACGCCGACCTCTTAACAGTGGGAACCTCCATTGCCGTAGACCTTACCATGGACCTATCCTCACCCCTCGTCATCGGCGCGAACGTCTACAGTTTGCCCTACAACACCAAAACTGGCGATACAGGCAATGGAGAACTGTTCTGTTCACAGGGTTGGTACTGCTTAAAAACTACAGATGGCAGAACATGAATATGGCGACAAGGTGGCCAGCGTTACTCAGGCTAATGTGTTATGGAAAGAGACTCATGGGGAGGTGCAAGCATCATGGTATGGGGTGGAATAGGCCGGAACCAGAGAGTGGGTCCTGTGGTGTTCCAGAACCTTGGTCCAGGGAGAGGAGGCGGCATCACAGCGGTGCGCTACATCGACCAAGCTCTCAGACCCCACGTCATACCACATATCGCACGTCACCGAAACAACATTTTCCAGCATGATAACACCCTGGCCCATACTGCCAGAGCTACACGGGACTTCCTACAGCAGAACGGTGTCAACATTATGCAGTGGCCAGCCCTTAGTCCTGATTTAAACCCAATTGAACATCTTTGGGATGAAATTCAGAGGAGACTGAATAATGTCATACCTACGCCGAACACAGCCGATTTATTGCGCCAGGCCTTTCTCAGAGTGTGGTTCCAGGTGTCAATGGCCTTCATCAATCGATTGGTGCACTCCAGGCATAGACGCTGTGCTGCAGTTATTGCCGCTCGTGGTGGTCACACTAGATACTGAAGTCAAGAGCCTGAATGGACTGCAAACGTTCACGTAATGTCTTGAAACTCTGCTGAGTTATTCATTGATGTATCAACAAGATAGTGTACACAAAAAATGTGTTTGATCCGCTTATTGTCAATTTCTGTAATGATTTGATTACAGTGCCTATCTAATTTTGAATTTGTATTGACGTTTTTTCTTTTGCTGCTGAGTATAGTTGAGATTGTTATGATAGCAAAGTTAACCTGCATATGTTCAAGTACAAACTATCAGCAATCAACTGTCATGGATGGCCCAATTTGCTGTTAACAGTTGCAACCACTGTGGTCTCACTCACTCACTCACATAAGAAAGAAAGACTCTTTGTGAAAGCTTGTTACCTGATCCAGAACTCCAGCCAGCAAGTCCACACTGTCCTCTGCGAGATCTACACCCCCCTGACCCGGCCCAGCTGGCAGCAACAGTTCACTCACTGCCACAGACTTCAAGAGCAGGGAGAGGTTGGGGCCAGGCAGGAGAATGAACCACCCACATGGGGGACGTGGATTAGTAGAGCCCTTTGCAGGCTGCACTGGCTGCTCTAGTTGACCCAACATCACCATGTCCTGCCACAAACATACTCAATGTTAGTATTCCCAAAGAGGATATAGGTAAATACAGACAAAGATATGACTCTTTGGGGACGAACTGTTAGAATGTGTGTGGGACATTCTGTGAAAATGTGAGAATTCTTGTGCATTTCGTATTTTTGAAATTTATTTCACTGGATATAATGGAATTACACCTTTTCTACAAGTTTCAATGCCGGTAGTATATTTTCCTCAACATGATAGAGAGGGCAAAACACAAGCAAAAGAGGGGTAGTTCGTGAGAAGAAACATCAGTGTTGTAATTTCATCCCATCAAAAGTAAATTGAAGAAAAATTGGAATTTAATGTCGATTTAATGATAAATGACATTTAACATCAACAATCATAGCTGTTCTTGATTGATTTAGTTCATATATCAGACAGAAAATTATATTTGTACTGGTTATTTGCTTTGTCCCTCTCATTAGCAGCCAGAGAACTGTTGCTCCCCAAATTTTTGCTCTTTTAAGTAACATGACATTTGTAAATTCTGCCTTTCAAATGGTGATTTGATTTTTATCCTGAAAATATATTTCATATCATGGGTGGGGAGTCACTGTGTACTGAATGCTAAAATGTTTCCCTCGCATTTTGATATACCTTCAAACTTTTACAGCTCTTATTCATCCATAATGCTCATGCTTAAAAAGACCAAACAGGTGCCTCCACCAAACAGGTACAACAAAGTGTGCCAAAATATTATTTAAGCATAACTTTTTCAATCTTTTTATTGTGGTATTGCTATAGCCTATTATAATGATAAAGGTAACAGAAGAGATTTCAGTTTAAACTGCAGGGATATTAAAAGTGTTTTTTCAAATGAATACATTCCTAAAACAACATCATCTGGTATGTTGCATTTGAACATTGTTTTTTCCCATTTTCATGTTGTACACAAAGACACAAGTTTATGTGAAGTTCATACCTTAATTCCTACTTCCTTTGCATTTTACTTAAATAAGGTACATAAGTGTCATTAAGGTTTCTTCAAAACAACTAAGTTGAAAACATTACCTTATGCTCTGTATTGGGAGATACTTTTATTTCCTAACTTACAATGGTTATTTGCACTTTGCAGTGAAACAGTTATATGAAGACAAGTTACAACAGGGACATTAATATTTAAAAACATTATGGAGCTAGAAATAACTCAGTCCAGTCCAGAATAACTTTCTTCATTTGCTTTGCTGCTTATCTCATGACAAGGAACATATCCTCCACTGTATACTGATGATTGCGCATTGTTCATTCATAAAGGTAACGGGTGTCAGGCATTGACACAAAACGGTAACTTGTATGTTCCGTTAATTTGATGTATTTTCCCCTGAAACAAACACACAAAACCACACTAGGTCATGCAGGTTGTTCCAGCTGAGCATCACTGAATGGAAAAGTATGCGAATGGGAATGAAAATTTTAAGTCGTACAAGGCAAATGGTTACATTTTAATGGTATTATAAGAAATGCTCTTTTAAATATACTATTCACACTTTGCTAAGCATCAAATCATGGATTCAACAGAAAACTATGATGTGGGGTCAAATTTGGTTGAAATATCTAAGCTTATTATAAGTAAGGATCCCAGGCTTCAGTTTGTCATTTCATCTTGTGTAACCCATACCTGATATTGACAGGTGTTGTGTACTTATCAATGACTCATTCCATGATTTGCAAAATGGTTGTTTGGTGCCATGCAAACCATTTTTATGGTTACTCATGTATCAAGTGCATAGGGTTAGATTAAAGAGACTATTTGCCTAAAGAGGGGTTACCATATTACTATTTATCCAGTTTTAAATGGATACAATTTCAAATTATAAATCTACGTTGAAGTAAAGTTGTGAATTTTTGTGATCCTTAGCAAAGTGTGAGTAGTATATAAACCATCATTTGAAAATTTGACATGAGAATGTTCCATATTATTACACTGTAACATTCAATACTAGAAAACAAGGCATTTTCCATTTCAATTTGACATTTGGAAGAGTCAATGTCCTTATTTGAGATAAAATAAGCACAGTGTTATTGTTAACATGTGTGTCTCTCGTGATGACATGACGAGGCAGAAGTTCTGCCATATGTTCCAGTCTCCCTATCATACAGTTGCTCCTTCTATGTGAGAAGTGTTCCTCCTATCACAACAGTGTGCTACTTAAATGATATCTATGACATTCAAATAGCACCTCTGTCCCAGGAGACAATATTTCCCAGACCCTTCATGTGGTCCTACGAAAAATAGGAAGAAGGCGGAAAAATATTTCTGACAACATCCTACTGTGCATAACCTGAATGCCGTTAAAATGACCAACGCCAGGGCAAGACGTACATTTAAACAAACTAAACACCGGTCATGGAGGATATATTGTCCAAAATCAACTGCCGCACACCCATGTCCAATGTGTGGAACATGATTCAAAAGATTAAGGGCAAAGGATCCAAATCTGGTGTTCGCCATCTCAAAGATGGTGACTCTCTTTTATCAAATAAATTTGAAATTGCAAATAAACTTGGCGAAAATTTGGCAAACCACTCCTCTTCCACAAATTATAACCCGAAGTTCCAGAAATACCAAACGCAACAAGAAAAGAGATCAGTCAATTTTAACTCTGATAATGGTGAGGATTACAATGAAATGTTTTCTCTCCATGAATTACACACTGCCCTGGGGCAGGAGCTGATGAGATTCATTATCAGCTCCTCAAACACCTCCCTGATTCAAGTTTGGAAACACTACTCAATATATTTGATGACATTTGGACAACCGGCAACTTTCCTCCTTCGTGGCACAATGCCATTCTCATCCCTATACCAAAACCTGGCTGGGATCATACTGATCCCTCAAACTACCGTCCTATATCACTAACTAGCTGTGTTTGTAAAACCATGGAGTGCATGGTCAACAATCGATTAATCTGGCACTTGGAGACCAATAACCTCCTTAGTGACCTCCAATGTGGTTTCCGAAAGAACCGAAGTACCAGTGACCATCTGGTGCGTCTGGAATCTTTCATAAAAAATTCCATTGTCAACAAACAGCATACTGTTTTCGATTTAGGAAAAGCATATGATACAACGTGGAAACATGGTATCTTAAAAGATTTACATGAATTTGGATTTAGGGGCAGATTACCTCAGTTCATATCTCAGTTTTTAAACAACAGAAAATTTCAAGTACGGGTAGGTTCCACATTGTCTGATTACTTCCACCAAGATCAGGGCGTCCCTCAAGGCAGCATCCTGTCTGTCACCCTTTTTAGCATCAAAATTTACAGCCTCACTAACGTCTTGAACAGTTGTGTTGATGGGTCCCTTTTCTGTGCATGATTTCAATATTTCATGTCGTGGTAAGAACATGCACACCATAGAAAGGCAGCTACAACTCTGTCTTAACAAAATCCAAAAATGGGCCAATGAAAATGGCTTTAAGTTTTCAAAATCCAAAACAAATTGTATTCACTTTTCTTGTAAATACAAACCACACAAGGATCCTGACCTATCTTTAGATGGTACTCCCATCAAGGTAGTAGAAGAGGCCAAATTCCTTGGACTCATATTCGACCGTCACCTGACATTCTTACCACACATAAAATATCTGAAAACCAAGTGCTTGAAGGATCTGGACTTACTAAAAGTCTTTCCAAATACAGAGTGGGGAGGGGATCAGACTACTCTCCTTCACTTGTACAGATCTTTGGTTCGCTCTAAACTAGACTACGGCTCCATTGTTTATGGTGGAGCTTGCAAAAGCAATTTAGAAAAATTAGATTGTATCCACCACCAAGGCTTGAGGCACTGCCTGGGAGCTTTTAGGACCTCTCCGGTAGACAGTCTATATGCAGAGGCTAACGAACCTTCCCTTGAACAACGACGCATTAAACTCAGTATATCACTAAATTACGTTCAAATCAGTCCAATCCAGCATACAATTGTGTTTTCAACCCTCTCTATGAAAACCTGTTTCCTAAACTGCCAAGCCTGGTTCCACCACTTGGAATCAAAATTCAACCACACATATCTGCAGCTAAAATTAATCTCAATATCATAGCACCTTACCGACTCTGTCTTAGCCACCCTGGCAGATGGTGAAACCACAGGTCAACCTTACCCTCACTAAACTCAAAAAGTCTGAAACAAATCCTTTGGTGTTCCAGCAGGAATACAACCAGTTACGTTCCAAGTATGACACCCACAGATCCATTTTCACAGACGGATCCAAAGATGATGGCCAAGTTGCCAGTGCTACAGTCATTGGATCCAAGACAGTCTCCTCTAGGATTCCCGACAACAGTTCCATTTTCACTGCCGAGGCCAAAGCTATCTTCTCAGCTTTGACCTACATTAAACAGCAGAATCATTCCAAAAACTTCATCGTTTTCACAGATTCATCATCTTGCCTTCAAGCACTTCAAAACTTTATTTCAAGTCACCCAATCATTCTGGACATTTTAGAACTTTACAACGACCTTTCTACTGGCCAATGTGACATCGTCCTCTGCTGGTTGCCGAGTCACGTCTGCATAGCAGGTAACACAAAAGCCGATGCTGCAGCTAAAACAGGTCTTGACAAGCCCTTACCTCCACTGCTGATCCCGTACAGTGACTTCAAACCCACTATCAAAAGCTATACTCGGGACCTCATGGAAAAGAGGTGGGACACTCAAGTAGGAAGAAATAAACTGTATGAACTGAAGCCAACAATTGGTTATACCTACTTGGGTTGTCAGTCAAGATGTGATGAGGTAATTTTACGACGATGTCGTATTGGCCACAGTCGGTTTACACATGACTATCAGCTAAAAAAAGAGAGGGGATGGACCCCCCATGTGTGTCTCTTGCGATGAGGTTTTCACCATCAAGCATATTCTGCTTGACTGTGTGCACTTATCGTCTGCAAGGGACTCGCTCTATGATGCAACAAATCTGAAAGATCTCTTCTCCCGCGTGAGTGCTCATCTGATAGTGACCTACCTGAGGGAAGTCGATCTGTATCATAAATTGTAACTGTGTAATGTCACTTACAAATTGCCTGCCTTTAAATTTAATGCTTTGCCTTTTTCTGTCTTCAAATGACAATGAAATGAATATATGTTTTTGAAATAAAACTCAGTTTTACTCTGTACTTACAATGTTTATTAATGCAGACTTGTTCTCGTCACTATATGACTGGAATAATGCCGATGTGACGTAAAGCCCAACTCAACTCAACTTTCCTATTAGTGGGTAGTCACACAATAGATCCAGATTCAATTTCCCACATGAGAACAATGTGAGACCTGTCACTGCATGTAGTTCTACCTCCGGTCCTACTACGATATATGTGGTCCTTCTACCCTACCTGTATCTCTTCTAACCTACCTGTGGCCCTACTACCATACCTGTGGTTCTTCTAGTCAGCTTTTACCTACATTTTGAGCACAAGCAAATATTTTTGTCCTATCAGTGGTCACTATTATATTTGTTGGTCTACATTTGTATGTTGATAAGGTACGGTAAAGTACGCAGTTTACAGAAATGGGATGAACTATACAGTATACATAAAATCGTTCACTCTGTTTTGAATGGGAGTGGAATCTGCAGTACAGTTTGTGAGTAATTGCTTGTGCTCTAAAACAGATAGAGAACATATGCCAGGACTTTACCGGGATACTTAAAGGTCACATGCAACCAAAAAATCAAACATAATTAAAACACAATTATCACTTATTCATGACATATAATATACATTGCTGGTAATGAAAAAACATATAAACAAAATTATAAGCATACAATCGCAAATCAAAAGTGCAAAATTGTGTACTTGGGTTTACTTCCCAAGAAACGAAGCAGCCGGGATACCGAACCCAGTGGGTGGGTGTGCACTCAAGTGTAACGGCTGGTTCATTTGCAGATGCCTTCACGGCTCATTGTGTGTGTATATATAGAGATGTTGGGTTTTGTAAATACATGCTCATTTTTTGTGTATAACATTTTGCAATCAACAGACATCATAACATGTCATGTGTTCAAGTATCACACCTGCCTGTCTGTGTAATTACATAATGTGACAGAGACCAAACTCGGGCCATAAATCAATGCATTTTGTTTATGGTGTATAGCCTGATTGGTGTTAAGTTCAAATTGCATGTGGTCAGTGATAGCAGCTGTGTATTGAATATTGTCAGACAGGCAGGCAGACACACAGGTGTCAATAAAACAAGACATTGAGTTTTGTCTGTGACAACGACATATCTATATCACAGTTAGAAATTCTGTACAACGCTAAATAATGACATTGCTTTTAAGTATCGAACTGAGAAAGTGACTCAGTAAGAAGAACGTGTGGTGAAATAGACAAATGAAATTATATACATGTAAACAGTTAATTTACTGTCATAACATATAAAAAGCTCGCGCCTGTGAGATATCAACAAAACATTAGAAAAATAGCTCACACCAAAGCCTTCACAGAGTATTCACCCGACAACCAGCTTCCAAGCTGCGCGAACCTATTTCACTGCGCACTTGCTATGAGCGCAGCCCAGCTGTTGAAACCAGTTTTCCCCAGAAAAGTCGGGGGAAAATTAGTGAAACGTTTGAACTCCGATTTCGCGCGTTTTTTTTCATCGCGTTATTTTTTAACTTTATAAGTTGAATTTGCATTTTTGACGATTTGTTTGGGTAAGTCCATACCGAAAGGTATCAGAATCTGCAAAGTTGTGTTTTACGTTGCATGTGAACTTTAAGTTCAGTATGTGTTACAGTGATTCACATACTCTATAAGCGGTCTTTTACCCTACAAAGAGTCCCAATACCCTAGAATTGGTCCAAGCTCATTTCCTGCCTGTGATACTTCCAACCAACTAGTATCATGTCTAGCAAAAGGGATATGCATGTACATGACAAGTTGTCCTGCTATGGGAGAATCTGCATAGATTATAGGCACATAGCCCTTGTATATTATGCACTGGTTTTAAGGATCATCCTTTTCACTCTACAGCGGTAGATATTAACATACTTTTTCTAAAGGTTATCCTCAGATACACCTTACACACTAATTTTAAGGATTATCCTATTCCATAGAGAGCCCTTATAAACCAATTTCTGAAGATTATCCTCTTCAACCCTTATACACTAGTTTTAAGGATTTTTCTATTCCATTGATAGCCCTCATACACTAGTTCCTAATGATTTTCGTCTTACACATGCAGTCCTTATACATTTGTTTTTCAAGATTAACCGTTTCAGCAGACAGCCCTTATTACGCTAGTTATATGGATTTTCCTCTTCAACCTCTAGCCCTTATATAATTATTCGCTAGTTTTAAGGATTTTCCTCTTCAACAGATAGCCCTTATACACTCATTACTCAAGATTTTCTTCTTCCATAGACAGTCACTATATCCTGACTGTAATTGTGGCCCTACTGTTTTGTAATCACATTACAGACAGGATTTTCCCTTGCTTCATAAATTAGGGTTACACTGACCTGCCTAAACATTTTTGAGGGTCCAACAAGATTTATGTGAATCAATGGGGTTTTTAAGTGCAATTTCAGGCCATGATTTTGACACAATTTTGACACTCTGTTTTAATTTATTCATATAATTGGTTTAAGTAAAAATGATACAAATCAAATGACCTCAAATTAAATTAAAAAGAGTTCAGTTTATGTAAATGATAACTTTGTTGGTATCTTTTCAGTTCATCTATTCATCAAATACCAAGGACAATGAAATCTGTGCAAGTGGTAGTGTTACCTTTCAAACGTTTGTCCTAGAAGTAGTAAGTGCTTCCTACAGGTGGCCAATCTTCCTTACTAACACAAGCTCTCCTCTTTAACCTATATGTGGTTGAGCACAAATTATAAGTTGTTACTTCTTTTCTTGCCTACAGATTTCATCCAATTATCAAAGGGTCCACATTTGATTGAATAGTTTCCCTTGGTTATTATCCCTTCTACACTCTGTTGGGACAGACCTGTGCTGCCTGTTTGGAATACATGATATGTATGCCTGCAATATACCTTCTTGTAAAGTAGATGACATAGAGCTTTGAAGTTCTGTTGATTTTTCTCCAATTCATCCCAGTCTACCTTCCAGCAGGATGTCGGTTGAACTATCAGAGGCTGCAACAAAACCAATGTGATCCATCCTCTACAATATCACACTTGCATAGTCACATTGCCTAGAAAATCTAATCTAGTACATATGCAAGCATTGTTTTGCATTTTAGAATGAATTTTGTACCAGTCACAGATCAGGGATTTGATATCATATTTGAAACTACTTTGGTTAATGACAGGCCAACATAAAAGTAGGGAATCACACTCAATTATCGACAGGTGCCATTTAATTAAGTGTCTGGCCGTAAAGGGTGTCACACATACCATGCCAAACACAATGGATTCACACACTGCTGTTGTGTGAATCAGCGCTGAGATGTAGATGCTGTGTACTGGAATAGTGATACCAGCTGCTTTGCTGGTGCTGGCAAACACCAATTTACAGTTGGCACTCTCAGGGTGCAGGGTCTGCCAGGGAATTAACACTATATTAGCATGAAATCCAATCACATAAATACTGTTTTCTTAATGCAGATTTCTTCATAAAACTCTTTATAGGCATTTAGAACTTGGATGCATTTGTAACCTGAGGCCAGACCAATTATATTTCTTGTTTCATGGATTTTTGTTCTCAGGAGAAAAAAAAAATCACCAAAGTAATATTCCTTTTAAATACTAAAAGTATTTTACTTTTGGCAATTTATGAAGTGTATATGAAGCTGCAGGTGCTCCTTCAAAATGCAGAATAGCTGCAAGTTCCCCTACAACTGCTGTGTGGTATGAAAAACAACTATATGCAGTAAAGCTGCAGGTGCCCCAACAACTGCGGTGTGGTGTGAAGAACAACATTATGTAGTAAAGCTGTATGTGCCCCTACAACTGATGTGTGGTGTGAAGGTCAATATTATGTGGTAAAGCTGTATGTGCCCCTACAACTGATGTGTGGTGTGAAGGTCAATATTATGTAGTAAAGCTGTAGGTGCCCCTACAACTGATGTGTGGTGTGAAGGTCAATATTATGTAGTAAAGCTGTATGTGCCCCTACAACTGATGTGTGGTGTGAAGGTCAATATTATGCTGTAAAGTTGCAGGTGCCCCTACAACTGCTGTGTAGTGTAAACAACAACATTACGCCCCTACAACTGATGTGTAGTGTAAACAACAACATTATGCTGTAAAGTTGCAGGTGCCCCTACAAATGCTGTGTTATATGGTAACTGTGCAGGGTTGAGGATTCCTTCATGCAGATCACACTTCACCACAAGTCTCGAGCCATCTGAAACACAATACACCATTAACATCTACAAGCAACAACTAAATGACACTGGCTCCTTGAGGATTGTAACAAAACAAATAAGACATATCTCTTCTAATCCCACACTTCCATAATCCTATCTTTGAAATGATAATCACATATATTTACTTAAAATATCTCTTGTCAAAATCGTTTGCTCATGCTATTAATATCATCTGCAGTTACCAAAATATGTCGGACTGGTAGAAAGCATTAAGTAGGTTTGCAAACATTAAAATAAATGTATCTATCTCATTTTCCAGCACATGATTATGATTTACATAACTTGATTAATTTTACAGGAACGAACAAATGTTTGTTCTGATTGACTGTTATTGGATTAACTGAATTTCTTTCTTCACATCAGACTGCCATTTAGTAGGGCTGTTATGATTCACTCGCATATTCCTTGAATTGAACGGTATTCCTTCATGAATGCAATTAGTTTATCACAATCACTTGATTTTGGTGGTATTTATCAAAATACAAGATATAGAATGGATTATATCCAAGCCAGGCAGGATAATAGCCAGCAGTCTTATAAATTTAATTTGTGGTCACTGGTCATTGTCATGATAAGTTAACACTATCGGCATGACTAAAACATGTCAAATAATTATTTTGTCAATGTTTCACTAAATTTATTGATTGATACATCCAATGATGACCTGTTTTCATTTTCATTACCCAACATTCATATTCATTACCCAATATTCATTGTATGTATCATATTTGCCTCATAGTGGATTCACCACAGCTCTACCATTTACCACTTGCAGTTGACGATAAAATGTGGCTGTCATGATAGGAAATGACATCATTTGACATGATCAATGTGCAATCAGACAGTACAAGGGATAGGCAAATAGTCATTCATTAATACAGCTGATAAACATTTATATTAGAATGACAACAAACAATGCACTCTGAAATGGCTAGAATTAATCTCTCGTCTGACGAAGGAAGCAACCATCAATAAATGAATAATGAATATGGTGCAAACAATGAAGTCACACACTAAGAGCATTCTCACAGAAATACCAACGGATCTTAGCTGCAAAGTGTGCCCTGGATATGTTTATAGCCAGAAAACATCATATGACATTTACAGTTTATGAAGAGCACTTGTAACTGCTACTGTAGCAGAATGATATTGTGTGGTTCTGATGAACTTCCCTTCAGTTTCCTAAGACTCTCTAGGAAAATGTTCCCCAAAACATGTTTTACAATCAATTCAGATACATTTTAACCTCAGTTTGTTCTAAATTGATTTATTTTAATGACTGTGTGGATAGATAACCAATAACAAATGGTTCAAGAATGATGGATTAAAGTCTCAAGATTTCAGCAATTTAAGTACCGGTATACTTTATTTTAAAGATAACATTTTATCTTATTGTGATGCAGATATTAACATGCAGATAGATAAAAATATAGAACTGAGTTCAAACACTATTATCAAACTATACAATAAAGCTTCTGATCCTTTCAACTGAGTATAGGGGGACCTCAGAAGAAATGAGAAGACAGGACTTTCTGGATGAATATCAGCAAATGTTTATATGAAATGAATACTTTTTAAAAATCAGTCCCAAACAAGGATAATTATTTTTTAACTCAAAGGATAATGATGCAAGATTCTGACTAGACTGCAACACTGGTTTAAAAATAACAACAGAATTACAGAATTAGAGCTTTTATTCAACTAATATTCCTACAATTTACTAGTTATATTGCATATTGCTTCATATTTATCAAAGAAAAATGCAAGGTTTTACCATCTTTCATTGACATCTCAAAAGCTGTTTAGTATTGATCTTTAAATATTCAAAAACCTCGTAAACTTGGTGTTGTAAGTAAATTCTCCAAGTTTGTTGTGAACATGTATTCCTCATTATCTGCTTGAGTAAGAGCTGATTCTGGATTATCTTCATCCTTCAAATGTAATATTGGTCACCGGTCAAAGATGTATCCTAAGATCCAAAAGCCATCATTATGATTAACCAGCTTGCTACAGTGTTAAAGAAAGAAGGTGAGATGTTTCTGCATCTCCTCATATTTCTGATATGTTTTTATCATGTTTGGCCAATGTTTCTCATCAGTATTTGACAATGCTTTACAGCTTCAAAAGAAAGTTTCTGTTTTTGAAAAAAAAATTGGCAAAAATCTTAATGAAAATAAATCTTAACAAATTAGAAATGGTTTCTACATGAGGAGGTCCGACCTGGGCGCCCCATACAAATTACAGACCCTATCGCAGGTCAAGCTGTCCCTCCGCCGTGCTTGGCAGACAGGATCCAAGAAATGATACTATCACTCCTCCTGCTGAAGCAGTGGGTGGAAGAATTTGGGCTCCTGCTGTAGTTAGCAGGCAACCAAGTATCATGCCAACACCCACCTATTGTTTAACTACTGACCCTGCCTGCACCAGTGCAACCTACTGTAAGAGTTGAGGGGGAGGGGGGAGAATATTTCCATGAGTGTTACTGTTGCGTAGCAGTGGACTGATGGTGACGTCATGACTGCGCTAGTTAGTGATGTGATGTGAACAAATGACGTATGGTTGCTATGAGGGGGAGTACTATTGTTTGGTGGGATAATGAGGCAGGGGAGTGTTTGTAAACAAAACTTACTTGATAGTTGCCAGTAATCTGTGACCACTTACCGATTTAGTTAAATAATGCTAAATCAAATTAATAGTTACAAAAAACATTTTTCATATATAATTCACACTGTTTCACAAATGGTCTTTTTTTTGCTATATGATTTCTCACAGTTGATAATTGGTGTTTGTATTTCAAAATCCAAATAAAGACCATTAGGAGAAACATTTGATACTATATTATTAAGCCTTTACACTGCTTTTCCATTTAACATGTTCTATAGACAATTCCTTGCGCCAATCAGTGTCCTCACCAAGAATTATGCTTGCAAGATAAAGATTAATGCTATTATGTTCCTTGGAAAAAACATTTTATGAGTGGTTGTTACACTAATAGCAACTACATTTTTACAAAAGAAATATTTTTAACAAGCATGAAGCAGTCATAAAATCCTGACAGGTCCATGCCTGGACTGCTTGTAAAGCTGTCCTCACCTGTGTTCTTGGATGGCAGCACGATGTGGAGGTGTTCGCTGTCACTGCCGCAATCCATCAGCCAACCATGGAAGAAATTCTGCAGACTCACACAATCTAAAAAAATTAAATGACAAAGGTGACAAAAGATTTCTCATTGAAATATCAATTCTTGATTCTTTATTACATAAGCTTGAAAGACAGAATAATGAAAATGAATAATATCAATAAATCACAGATAAATACAGGACCACTTCAGAACAGAGCTCTAAGCAGTACTACTTGGTCCACAGGCACTAAGGAACCAACTATTCAATACTCCAGGGCCGGAGTGCTGAGATTATGGAAACAGGATGTTCAAAACACAGAATGATGAAAAACCAGTTCAATTAAAATTATTAGCTTAGATAATATATTTCAAAAACACTTTAAGCTTAAATATTTATTTCAAGATGTTTCCCAGACAATCTGTCTTTTGCAAATTCGAACCATCCCAAATCTAGAAGTACATAGGCTTGTCTGGATCACTAGCACTAAGCACTAGGACAGGTGGAACCGAGCACTAAGCAGTGTCATATTAAAACAACAGCACCCACAAGGGTCATCTGGAATACAAACTATTAGCATGGTTGTCCCGAACACTATTAGGGGTCATCTGAACTTGAGCTCTAAGCACTGTTGTCAGGAACCCAGGTTCATCTGAACACTAGCACTAACTGGGGTCAACTGAACACTAGCACTAACTGGGGTCATCTAACACTAGCACTAACTGGATTCACCTGAACACTAGCACTAACTGGGGTCATCTGAACACTAGCACTAACTGGATTCATCTGAACACTAGCACTAACTGGGGTCATCTGAACACTAGCACTAACTGGATTCACCTGGAACACTAGCACTAACTGGGGTCATCTGAACACTAGCACTAACTGGGGTCATCTGAACACTAGCACTAACTGGGGTCATCTAACACTAGCACTAACTGGGGTCATCTGAACACTAGCACTAACTGGGGTCATCTAACACTAGCACTAACCTGGATTCACCTGAACACTAGCACTAACTGGGGTCATCTAACACTAGCACTAACTGGGGTCATCTAAACTAGCACTAACTGGGGTCATCTAACCTGGATTCACCTGAACACTAGCACTAACTGGGGTCATCTGAACACTAGCACTAACTGGGGTCATCTGAACACTAGCACTAACTGGGGTCATCTAACACTAGCACTAACTGGGGTCATCTGAACACTAGCACTAACTGGGGTCATCTGAACACTAGCACTAACTGCGGTTGTCTGAACACTAGCACTAACTGGGGTCATCTGAACACTAGCACTAACTGGGGTCATCTGAACACTAGCACGAACTGGGGTTGTCTGAACACTAGCACTAACTAGATTCACCTGAAACAAGCACTAAGCACGTTGTCTAAACACTAGCACCATTTTAGGGTCATCTTGAGGATTATCTAGCACATGTAAATGTCATCTGCAGTACTAGCATTAAGCAAGATTGTTTAGAACACTACCACATGTAAATGTTATCTGCAGTACTAGCACTATGTGTGGTTATTTGAAACACTAGCATATGTAATGGTAATCTGCAAGACTAACACTAAGTTTGGTTGTTTACAACATTAGCAGATGTAATGGTAATCTGGAATACAAACACCTTCATGGGTAATCTTGATTACTAGGGTAATCTGGAAGTACTTGGCTGTGTCATGTTGAACACTACCACCTAGCTGGGACATACAAAATAGAATTTCAGAATTACGAGGGTTGAAGGCCCCTTGATATTAACTGCTTTAGTACTTAATTGTGAGGATGCTCGTAATCTTTGAATTTATTCAATTTAGTTGAGGGGTGATGTGTAGACGGGGTCCCTTGACTTCGATGCCTAGTTGTGAAAGCAATCAAAATCACTGCACTCAGCAGAATTACCTGCATCAAGGGTTAGAGTATCCATCAATCCTGTGATCATGCTGGTGGAGGATATACTACTTCCTTGACTGGACACATCCAGCAACCCATCCTCACTGCCATACAGTTGGGGGGTCAACGTCACACATAGAATACGCTAAGAAGCAGGAAATACCCTTCATAGATGAACTGGCAAAACTGTGTGATTTGACATAATACAAACTTTGCCAACTTCTCAGTATCTTTCAGAAAGATTTAGAAACATGGATTGTGTTTGGGCATTAATTTCACAAAATACAGTAGAACATGGATATAGCGAACACGGATATAGCGTACAAACGGATATAGCGAACAAATTTAAAAGTCCCGTCAACAGTCCTTTATAATATCATTAAAATTATACGCGAATAACGAACTCGTGAGTAGCGAATTAACGGCTATAGCGAACTGATTTACTACCCCCAAGACCCAATTAAGGACGTGATTAGCGAACTCACTCAGTGTCAGCTCAGCCACTTAGCGGTACAGTATACATCAATCTTGTTGGCGGTGAATCAACATTGATTGATGGTCATTAATTAATTAACAAAACAAACATATCGTGTTTAACCCATTCAACAACCTTGCATTTTCATTAAAAAATAAAATAAATTTATTTAAGTTGTAGTTGTATTATTTCAATTTTATTATAAAAATAAACTTCATATTTATCAACATGATACAGGTAATGTCTGTGAATGTCCTCATCTCTACAATCCAAGATGGCGGTCAAATGTGAATAACGAACAACGGATATAGCGAACTAAATTTCTTGGTCCCTTGGAGTTCGTTATATCCGTGTTCTACTGTAAATGGTAATACAAAACATGATCTTCTGGGATTTCATGGAACAATAAGACAACACATTGTCATTCCCAGCAGTTTATTTTATATTTGTGTCAACTGATAGTGACTGGTCAATGATTAGTTCGATTCTGTTTTCACTAAAGGAACTGTTCATGAATTACATGACAATTGATCTTTTACTGCTGAGCTCCTTTTAATCATTTAATAGTCTGATAAGAACAGTTTCAAAGCATATTGGCTAGATTAATGCACTCAATCTCATTTGAAATTACCTTGAGGTGTTGAATATGTACAGTGTCAGCCACAGCTTCAATCTGCCTGGATACAAACTCTCCACTACGACAGCCAAGAATAATCACCTCCAACTGATTCATTGACAGGCCTGGCTAAAAATGAACATACAAGTAATAATCTGGGATTATGTCCAAGGGCAACTATTAGAGAAAATGCCCCATGATATCCATTAGGATATTTTGAAAAGGTTTCCACTGTATGGTTTTCCTAATTAATTTTCTGTACAAATCCAAGGAAAAATGTGTACGCTTACATCCTAATATTATACATAAATATTTCTATAGCATGGTTTGTGGCATAAAGGGCACTTAACTAAGAAAGTTGGATTTGTGTACAAAGTCTTTTATCAACAGTATACTTCATTTTCCATCATCAAAAATATTTGTACAGCAAATAACATACGTCATCAATTTATCAAAACTTTTCAAATACAGGTAGGAGGTGTATATCGACTTTACGTGCAAATATCGAGTTAACAGGGTAATTTTGCTTGTCGGGACCATGAAATCATATAGATATATCCGAAATATAGAGACATCCATATCGAGTTAAAAAGGTTCAAATAATGATAAATAATGAAGGATTTTGCCGGGACCGAGAAATTATATCGAGACAACCGAGATATCGAGCTATCAGAATTTGACACAACAGTGTTCGACTGTATCTGCAAAAAAATTTCACAAATCAAACATCATGTCTATGCTGTAAACAAACCAGCAGTAACTAAATAAACTGAAGTTATAGAAAACGAGGATGAGGCTCAGACATGTTTAGTTAAAGCAAGTTTGAGTCAAGTCATTCAAAACCTACTTTGATTAATTGCAAACACATTTTGTTTGTTGATTAATGCCGCACTCAGCAATATCCCAGCTATTTGGTGACAGTATTCAGATAATTGAGTCTGGACTAGACAATCTAGTGATTAACAACATGAGTATTGATCAACGCATTTTGGATACAATGACATGTATCAACCAAGACAGCGAGTCTGACCACCCGATCCTGTTTTTTTGTATGACAAGCAGGGGTTGCTGAAGACTCATTCTAACCCGGATCTTGATTAGATACAAGGCACTTACATTTGCTTTGATCAACGCACTGGAAACTGAGTCGCCTTAGTTGCTGCAATTTGCTGTGCATCCTTTGTGCACACCAGCAAAACCCTGTGACTGTGGGTTTCAGTCCAGGCTCACCCCAATTATGTTTCTAGGTTTGTCAGCACCATATCCACACGTATATTTCATATAAGTGGTCACTTCAGGCATTCCTACCACATCAAGCTGACACACTGTCATACTGTTAACCCCCTCACTCACTCACATTCACTACAAAATAGCCATACTGCCCTAATTACCTGAGTGAATGTACACACTTGTCTCCTGAACTGCTCAGTAGCCTGTTGTACAGCCTGGGGTATACAAGAAATGTGCCTTGGCAGACAATTACCCACTTCTGATACAGATGTTCTGATTGCCCTTAGAGCATTCTGAATGCGTGTGAGGTTACCCTTCAAACTGGACAAGGGCAGCAACAGCTGCAAAGTTAAAGTAGAACAGTATGCAAAATTGTGTTTACTGTTAATCAGAAGTTTTAATTTACAACATGTAAAACATAAAATATGAGAAGAGGAAAAATTAGATTTAAATTAAAAGTAAAACCATTACAACCACAACAAGAAAAGCTATGTCTGACCTCAGGTTGGGCTGTCAGCAAAAAGATGCTGACCATTGGGATACGGGAAGGTCCGGCCAGACTACAGGCAACAGCAAACATGTTCTCAAGACTGTCGCAGAGTACGTCACAGACATGCTGGTCAAATGGGGGACTTATGTCAACCAATATAGATCGTGCTGCAAAATGAAAACCATGTGAATTCAAGAGCATTTACATCAAAGTATCAAATCACCGTAATACGTACTGTACATTGTGAAAGGGATGGTTATGACAAATTGATAGTTACTACAAGCGGATAATCACTGTATGCACTGGTCAGGTGCCAGTCAAATCGCCCTAGCTACAAAACGCCCCAGCAAATTTGGTCAAAATGCCCCAGATGTTTGGTCAAATCACACCAGGTTTGGTCAAATTGCCCCAAGGGTGTAGTCAAAATGCCCCAATTTATTCACAATGGTTAAATATATGCCATAGATGCATATTATTTGTCAACTTCCATATTATATTCTTCATGCACTGGTCTAGGTCTGACATGCCGTAATCGATTGTAATTCGAAGAACATTTCCCAGCCATATGACAGACATTTGTAGGTAATTACGTCTGAACCAGACAATCTGCATCATGCAATCAACCAAGTTACGAAGCCTGGCCATCCTATTCATGATCACTTAGGCCAAGTTGCCTCTTACGACAAGTGAAGGTTGCTAAGTATCAGTATTCGTACTCGGAATCCACACGGGTTAAGAGAACAAAGTGAGATTACGAACGAAATAAACTGCAGTGATATTAACCCTGCCTACCCGGTTGTCTTCCAAGAAGGTGTCTTTTGCTTGTTTCATCTGATGCCATCGTCGATAAATTCCGTTACTCGCAATGTCCAGAAGTGTGTAATAACGTTCGGTCATGACATTTTCATACGGTGTGTATTCTCGAATAAAAAATACACAAGATCAAAGCCCCCGTGTTGCCTCCTTCCACAGTTCGAAAATGTTGAAGCAGAAACTTTCGTGCTTCCAAAGCAGACGAAACTTCAAAGCGAGGCTACCGGAAACAGGTGCTTGTGAGAGATTAAGCTGGTTCCCGGTTTCCCATGCGCTTCGCCAAGTTGTGAAAGAGACAGAGACCATGCTAACGACTGATTACCAATGCGAATGTCAAGAAAATCGGTCAATTTCTTTCATACAAACAGGGATAATCTACAGCGTCTTCTATTCTCCCTGATACAAACGGACATAGACACTCCAAAAAGAGAAAACAAATGTTGATGTTAATAGCTGAACACAAACGACTGGTCAGGAAAGGACTTCCCGTAGCATTTGTTATGAATAAAGGAAATAGACGCAGCTACTTATAACCACATCTGCAGGCTTAGGCCAACAGTAGTTGGCCATAAGTGAGTCATCATTAGTGAAATTCCCATAGACTTGCATCTTAATTTACTCTTGCAAGAATAATTTTCATAAATTTGGTTTCGGTCGAATTGCTTTCAATACTTATCTACCCTGCTGGGAAATCATCTCAGCTACATACACATAATTCCCATTCAGTTTTTTATTTAGAAAACTGCAACTATTTAAACAACACATATTAGACATACCAATCAGGTTTAACATGGCAGTCTATGGAATATATTAAAATCAAGTTGTACTTGCGGTGCTTTTAAAATCAGATGTCATTCGATAACTAATCAAAGGAAAGATGAAAGAAAATTATGTAAACGTAGCTGAAGATGATTTCCAAGATTTTTGCAAAATGTCAAAATAAAATGACTTCTACACAATTTATGAAAATTATTCTTGCAACAGTTAATTAACATGTAAGTCTATGGAAATATTACTAATGATGACTCACTTATGGCCAACTACTGTACCTGCACCAGAGAGAAAAAATACCAGCACCATGGCTTTATCGTCAACTCGTCATTTTGGAGATAATTAACATTTGATGTACATCATGAAACTGAAGTATTAAAATTCTTTTCAAGTTGAATGAACAGTTTCAATGTCAACTGTAAAAGGTGGATATTGATATTTTAAGAAGATGTCACCACAGTTTATATGTCCGTAACATTGACGTAACAAGTCCAATGCCGGCAAGGGTTTAGCGATAATGTCACTAACTCTGGAATGACTTACCACATTCTCGGCAACTCTACAGCTAAATTAAGAACGTTATTTGATAGACAGCGTAGACGTCAGTATATATCATTCGAACATGTTCTGTAGGGGGGATCCGGTGAATTTGGAGGCCAGAAGAAAAGGCATAACAATCCTTCTCACCAGAGGACGGGTATATCCTGTTGGATTGTCAATCCTGGGCCATGACCTTGAAGAAACGGATTTGCCACTGGTCCGACAATATGATCTATGTAGCTCACACCTGTCAAACAACAACTAATTAAAGGAGTTCTCTGACGTGCACCTATCCATCGCAAATCATCACGGAACCACCTCCAAAGTGAGTCCTCTCAATGACGAAGGCTTGAGCATAAGTCCCTATAGGTATAAATACACGTTGACGTCCGTCATTACGGGAAATGTTTAAAACAACTGTTAAAACAACAATCCTCCATTTGGCTTTTCTTTATCTCGATAAACACTTAACACTTTATTAAGTGGCCATTTCGATTCAAATTCGATTCTTTGAGCAATAATACATGTTTGTGAACGCTGTATATATATTTGCAAATATATATGTACTTGTGTTAATACTATGCTATCCATTTTAGTATTACTTGCTGCTTGGTCCGGCCCGACAGACATTTACTAAGGTACGTGTCAAACGCCTCTACTCCAAGTACTTCATCACATAACATTCCTCGAGTTTGTCCATTTTTGAAAGGTTATAGGCACCCCTTTATCTGAAAGACATCACGAACAGATTCACTCTCAAGCAATTCCTTGTGTGTGTTTTTGGCGAACACCTGGTGTCACCACTGATCCGTTTTCTACTTAATAAAAAAATATAATATAGAGACCTTAAGCCCACATACAAATAATTCACATTTACGGTAGTTACGGTAATTATAAACTTTGTTTACAAATACTTTTCTTCTTCCACCCGCATGATAAATATTCAGGCATACACGTATATTTGTTGTTTTCGTTTTGCAATTATCATTCTAAATGTATGTATACACATGAGCATTAATCAAGCACCACCCACTTTTTATATATACGTACGAAAACACATGTTGCCGTATATGCTTTGAAAGCAAATTCCGCGTATTAAAATGGTAACTGTACTATAACTATTTACTCCGATTAAGAAATACAAGACTGAAATTGTCACACAGTTCTCAGATAATAATTCTTGTTATTGTATGGGGATGGCCTAAAACTCGGGTCGGGCCAAGGCGGGCCAACTATATTATTGGCTAATAAATCCATTATCGTAAACCATGCCTACAATTCATTAATGCAACATACACTCATGTTAATAATGATCAACCAGAAGCCACAAACGCGTTTACCATCACTTTATTACGAGTAAATCGCTCGAAACCCAGGAAGACGAGCGGCATGTGAACGTGGTTGACCAATGTTACATCTGAAAGAGGCCCGACTTTTCTTGGCCCAAGTTTTAGGCCATCCCGTTTGAGATGAACCATCACTGGCGACCTTGTCAGTACCTGGTGTAGCTACCCCTCGCACGGATAACATCTGCCAGTCTCCTCTTCATAGTAATAATCAAGTGTCGAATTATTAGCCTCGAAATCCTATGCCATTCCTCGTGAAGTGTCTGTGTCAGTTCCTGCATAATCTGAACAGGAGGATCTCTAGTTCAAGCGTCCAAGATAGTCCCAAATATGTTTGATGGGGTTCATATTTGGGGCTCCTTGTGGACCATGGCAATGTATCTTTGGGGTTGTTCTGCAAATAGACAAAGACGTCTCGAGAACCCAACACCATTACTGAGTCACAATCATAGTGTTCAGCTGCATGGGTCATCTCCTGGTAATATGCCCTATTACTACGTCCCCATACGCGACAACGTGCGTCGGCAACGTGGAGAAGAAAGCGACCAATGACCAATGAACCCCGCATCTGCACCACGCCAGACGTTAATGCCTGTGCCTAACTGTGAGGAAGGGGCGTCTGATTGGACGACGGTCCTTGAGACCAGATGCCCGCAGACTTCTTGCCAGGCGGATCACGTGTGGTCTTACTCGTCTTCCACCTCTTGGACAACGATCTTTTACTTAACCGGTGGCCACGTCATCACAAGTCGACTAATAACAATGTACAGTCAGCTCTCGTTAATCCGACACTCATTAATCCGACAATCACGTTAATCCGACAAAAACTTAGGGAACCATTTAAAACAGTGATAATTACTCTCGTTAATCCGACATTCTCGCATTCCGACTCCGACACACCAATCTAGCAACTGATTATCGTAAATACATTGTAAAAACACTCGTTAATCCGACAGTCAACACAGCCGGTCGGATGATCCGACCGTATACAAACAATCACACGTGAGTGGTAATTAGCGTGTGCCTTACTGGTAGTTAACTTTCAAGTTAGCACCAGTATTGCGGTGGAACATCCCAGCGTCATGCATGCAAATAGCCAACGTGGATTTTCTGAAAGGCTATGTCTTGCCATGTCAAGGAAAGATAATTTCCATTAATCTTGTCTTAGCAGAAGACACCCAGTGTTTGTGTAGACAGATTCTCTGGGTATGTGGTAGACACCCAGTGTTTGTGTAGACAGGTGCTCTGGGTATGTCGTGGCATAAGACACCCAGAGTCTGTGTAGACAGGTGCTCTGGGTATGTGGTGGCAGAAGACACTCTGTGTTTGTGTAGACAGGTTCTCTAGGTATGTGGTGGCGGAAGACACCCAGTGTTTGTGTAGACAGGTGCTCTGGGATTGTGATAGACACCCAGTGTTTGTGTAGACAGGTGCTCTGGGTATGTGGTGGCATAAGACAACCAGAGTTTGTGTAGACAGGTGATCTGGGTATGTGGTGGCGGAAGACACCCAGTGTTTGTGTAGACAGGTGTTCTGGGTATGTGGTAGACACCCAGTGTTTGTGTAGACAGGTGCTCTGGGTATGTGGTAGACACCCAGTGTTTGTGAAGACAGATGCTCTGGGTATGTGTTGGCTGAAGACCCCCAGTGTTTGTGTAGACAGGTTCTCTGGGTATGTGCTGGCAGAAGACACCCAGTGTTTGTGTAGACAAGTGTTCTAGGTATGTGGTAGCAGAAGACACGCAGTGTTTGTGTAGACAGGTGCTCTGGGTATGTGGTAGCAGAAGACAGCAAGTGTTTGTGTAGACAGGTGATCTGGGTATGTGGTAGCAGAAGACACTCAGTGTTTGTGTAGACAGGTGCTCTGGGTATGTGGTAGACACCCAGTGTTTGTGTAGACAGGTGCTCTGGGTATGTGGTGGCAGAAGACAGCAAGTGTTTGTGTAGACAGGTGCTCTGGGTATGTGGTAGCAGAAGACACCCAGTGTTTGTGTAGACAGGTGCTCTGGGTATGTGGTAGACACCCAGTGTTTGTGTAGACAGGTGCCGTGGGTATGTGGTGGCAGAAGACCCCCAGTGCTTGTGTAGACAGGTGCTCTGGGTATGTGGTGGCAGAAGACACCCAGTGTTTCTGTAGACAGATTCTCTGGGTATGTGGTAGACACCCAGTGTTTGTGTAGACAGGTGCTCTGGGTATGTGGTAGACACCCAGTGATTTTGTAGACAGGTGCTCTGGGTATGTGGTGGCAGAAGACACCCAGTGTTTGTGTAGACAGGTGCTCTCGGAATGTGGTGGTAGAAGACACTCAGTGTTTGTGTAGACAGGTTCCCTGGGTATGTGGTAGACACCCAGTGTTTGTGTAGACAGGTTCCCTGGGTATGTGGTAGACACCCAGTGTTTGTGTAGACAGGTTCTCTGGGTATGTGGTAGACACCCAGTGTTTGTGTAGACAGGTGCTCTGGGTATGTGGTAGACAACCAGTGTTTGTGTAGACAGGTGCTCTGGGTATGTGGGGGCAGAACACACTCAGTGTCGGTGTAGACAGGTTATCTGGGTGTGTGGTAGACACCCAGTGTTTGTGTAGACAGGTGCTCTGGGTATGTGGTGGTAGAAGACACTCAGTGTTTGGGTAGACAGGTTCTCTGGGTATGTGGTAGACACCCAGTGTTTGTGTAGACAGGTGATCTGGGTATGTGGTGGCAGAAGACACTCAGTTTTTGTGTACACAGATTCTCTGGATATGTGGTAGACACCCAGTGTTTGTGTAGACAG